TGGGAAGCAGATCCTGTTATGCCAGCGGGTAGAAAGGAGGAAGATCTAAGCCTGTTGCAATGAGAGAGATAGAAAGGAGGAAGGGAGGGGGGGTGTTCCCACAGCTGTTAAGAACATCAAGACTTAAAAAAAATTACAACACGCTGCATGTGTATCAAGAGACAGCGCCAATTTGGAGGAGAGGAAGAAAAGCAGGACATTTCCAGTAGCCCCTGCTGTGTGAGTTTTCGCCACAATTACTCTGGCAGGGGTGGGGGCACCCAGCAAAAATAAAGAAACAAAACAATAAAATCCTTACTCTGCCTTTGCAAACCCAACACGTAGTGCTTACTAGCAAAATATATCTTGTTTCATACGTGTGAGTGCATACACACATTTGAACAGAGGGCTTCTATATTGGAGGGAGCCGGCTGAGAGTGTTCTGGGCACTCTATGCAATAGCACTGCAAACATTTCAGGGGGCCTGCAGGGGCTAAATGTGATCCCCTCGTGATCCCAGTAGCTAATGAGTCCCTGTCTTCTTATAGCTCTGTAATGGATTCATCTTTGTTGACTAAGCTGGGGAGAGGATTTCTGTTATGGGGAAAGGCTGGCATTAATACACAAAAGCCCTAAACAGCTGCGGTCCAGAATATCTAAAGGACCACCAAGGTTTTTATATCTCAGCTCGATCCCTGAGACCATCTGGAGGGCTGCTGCTGTTTTCCCTGCATCACGGAGGCCTCAGGCATTTGGTATCATGGCTCCTATGCTGTGGAACACTCTTCCAGAAGTGATGGGGCAGACATCCTCACTTTTGACTTTCCAGGCATCTCTTGAAGACCTATTTATGTAGACAGGCCTATACAAAGGTTGGGGTTTTTGATCAGCCAGCCATTTTCAGCATCTTTGTTTTTATTGTATATGCTGCTGCATGCTATTGTGTGATATCGTATGCATTGGCAATATATAAGTACTTTAACAAATAAATTAAAAATACGAATCAAGCACATATTAGTGCTTTGTCCTAACATGACTGGCCCTGCCTATATGGCTGAATCGGTTAAACGTTATTCTGGTCACATGGGAACTTTATTTTATTTTATTTAAAGAAAAGGGGTTTCTACACACTTTTCAGGTCACCCAAAGGATTAAAAGTTTGTGGCTTTCCTTGGAGGGGAGAGGGTTTGTCTTGCCAAGAAACTCTTGTATGAAGCTACACAGGCGTCCCAAAAGAGTATCTTTTGTGAATGTTCTAAAGCTGGTTTTTAAATTTAAAGGCATATTTTGTATGGGTGGCTTTTATTTGCTCAGCCCAGTTATGCACTGGGGCCTGAGTGAGTGCAAACCTATGACCCACCCTCTTCCTACTTTAACAATAAATTTGCCCTTGACACAGAGCAGAACAGAGGAGGGAAATTACCATGGCTCACAAAAGGAAATGGATTTCCAAGGAGCCAATATAAAAAAGATCCAATTAATTATAATATTCATGGCTTGGCAAGGGCTTCCTAAATTACGTTTCTTCTGGAAAGGTGGCTAATTTTTAACAGGTGAAGTAGAAGGGAGGGGATCAAGCAGTTTTGCTAGGCACCATAGAGCAGGGGTTGGCAGTTGTCTGTCTTCAAGCTCCTTTGGCCTCCAGAACAGTGTACATGCCCATTGCTTATGCGCCTCGGTTGCTCACTCCTGTACACTGAGCACAGGTCAATGATGAGTAACTGTGGAGCATTAAATGACTCACAAGGCCTTTGCTGAAGTTCAGACTGGCATGCATAGGGTTAAAGGCACCTGTGCCCCCCATCTCAGATTATCTAAGGGTACATAACAAGAACAGGACTCTCCCTCTCTTGGGCCACCTGCCTTTGCCAAATACAAAAAGTAGGGGGGCATTATTGATAGCAGATTAAAGCTATAAAGTCTTGAATAACAATGGTTATCATTTGGGGACAACTAATTCCAGCACTGGGAGAGCTGAGAAACAGAACTTGCTCCATCAGCTTTCCTGCAACAGGCCAGCTCCACCAACACCACCCTTCCCTTGGCTGTCATCTGTGGGCAGAAATTTCATCAGGCTGCCTCAGTGGGAGAGATGGGGTGCAGGGTTCATTGCATATGCTAAGCTGAAGGGCCAGCTCCATCAGGTACTTCCTGCCTCTGAACTATGCCGGCTGGTCAATATAGGATCAATTATCTAGAAATTGGCGCCTGAGTTTTATTTTCCTCTTCCTTCCTTTTTCCTTGTGTGTTGTCTTTTCATTCATTTATTAGAATGTCAGCCTGCGGGCGGGGAGCGTCTAGCTTTGATTTCATGCAAGCTGCTCCGGGAACCTTTTTGGCTGAAGAGCAGGGTACAAATGCTCTAAATAAATCAAATAACTAAATAAAAGGGTGATAACGGTTTTTTTAAATAAAAAGAATAGCAAGAAACTTGCATATGATCAGCTGACGTATTTTGCTTCTTCAAAGCATGCCCCACCCCCAAACTGGGGAGGTGGCAGGGGAAGGGTTGGAAATTCACTTGCAAGCAGGTCATGCCAGTGACAAGATTCAGAAACCGGCTTACCCCCGAGACGATCAGTTCTCCTCCCAGGTTCTGAACTTCCGCCTTCACCTTGCTACAGATATTAAGCTGGTGACAGTACAGGGCGATGCGTTGCAGGTACGCTAAGAGATCTTGCTTACAGGCTGAATCGGGACACTGTAGATAAAGAAAAGAGATAAACAGCATGTATTTGATTGGCTTTGGTTTATACGCCTAATATACAGGGAAGAATGGGCAGGTTTGCCAACACCATATTAGAGACATTTGTTTTGCTTAACCCCTTGGCTACATATTTAACAAGGGATGGTTCTCTTGCATAGCTCAAGACAGTGATTTAAAGTGCAAAGGGACCCACAAGCAGCAGAGGGAAGGGAAGGAAACACCACCCGAACTGTTTGTCAGTTACCTGATGAGCTGTAAAGTAGAGTAATTTCTGTAGCCTTTTCCTGAGGACATGGCTCCATTTGCACTGAACATAAGGTTTTACTGATGCATAATGCACATTTTTTTTAAAACGGTGCAGTAAGGACTACGTTGAAAAGAGGTGCTTTCGGGCCCGCAAACCTTTCATAAGGACAGAAGCAAAGCCATTTTGTCACATCACAACTGGCAACGGGTCATTTTGCTCCAACGGCAGAATGCCACCTGTGGCGCTGTTTGTGATATAACGTACAAATCAAAACTGGACCGGGCACAACTAAAGTTGGTCAAACCAAGCCAGTGCTGGGAAAGTTTTAAAATCGGTTCAAAAACTTGAGACAATTTATGTGACAGCTCCAGAAGGGAGATGCAGGCCGGCGACTGTTTCATAGCAATAGAAGATATGGCAGCTGCAACAGTAAGAACAACATGCACTTATCTGGGTCCCAACAAATTTTCTATAAATTAGTGAAATGATACCTTTCTATGTCTCGCTTCCAATGGTGGGGGTATGGGGAGGGGTTATGTTCTGAATTGCAAGAGCAACCTAAGAACCTGTCCATGAAGAAGGTAGGTTTGGAACCTGAGCTGACAGCCATAGTGCACCACAGGACAAATGACACTTATCCAAGTGGGAATTAACCATTACACAGGCTTAGAACAAACAAAACAAAACAATTTATTACAGGAGAGTAATATGCAGATGATTACAAAAACTGAAATACTGATTAAACACCCAAAATTCAAATTGGACTGGCAGATCTGTGGTTAGAGTAGAGAGGCAAGAGGGACAACAGGATATTAGCGCCCATGTGGAGAAAGGAGTTCTTGTTATATTTACTTATTCCCCACCTTCTCCCTTGGCAGGGACTCAAGGCACCTTACAGGTAAAATAGGAACAGCTAAAAATATGGGGTCATTAAAAACAGGGACGTAGGAAGGGGGCGGTGGGGGCAGACCGCCCTGGGTGCCCTCACGGGGGCGGGGTGACATTTGGCGTGCCACGCGCCTGTGACTCCCAAGCCTACCCCGAGCCGCTGGGGTAAGGGGGGACCTGTGCTGCTTTCCTGGTGGCATTCCCCGCTTTCCTCCTTCATTTTGACAGCTTGGGGGAGGCTAGGGAGTCACGGGCGGACGGCTTGCTCAGCCCCCGTGAGCAGCTCGCTCCATCCTTGGCTACAAAGCACGCATACCGCTCCGGGCACCCAAGCGGCTATCCCGCGCCTGGGAGGGCACTCTCTGCGCCATGCCCCCCTTGGGAGCGCACCCGCCCTGGGCAGTGCAGGCATATGCTCCACTGCTGATTTTAAAACATTTTTAAAGTAATACAGTCATACCTCGGGATGAATACGCTTCAGGTTGAGCGTTTTCGGGTTGCGCTCCGTGGTGACCCAGAAGTAACAGAATGTGTTACTTCTGGGTTTCGCCGCTCGCGCTTGCACAGATGCTCAAAATGACATCACACGCATGCATGGAAGTGGCGAAACGCGACCCATGCACGTGCAGATGCGCAGTCATGTGTTATGTTCGCTTCAGGATGTGGACGGGGCTCCGGAATGGATCCCGTTCGCATCCAGAGGTACCACTGTAGAATTAAACCTATATATAAATATAAAAGATCTATTAAAACATACAGATAATTACACCAGCCCTTTCATCAAAAGCAGCCAGTTCCCCAAAGCTTGTTGGAATAAGAAGGTCTTCATCTGCCAGCAGAAGGACAACAAGGAGGGAGCTAGCCTAGGGAGGGAGTTCCAGAGTCTGGGAGCAGCCACTGAGAAGGCCCTCTCCCACATCCCCACCAAACTCATGAACCAACTGCGCCCGTTCCTTGAGTTGTCTGATTTGGCTACAGATGTAGTCTGGGAGAGGGGTGTGGCCTGAGGAGAGACCCGAGGGCAGGATAGAGAGACTTGGGGATGCATTTGGCCCCTGGGCCTCAGGTTTCCTAATCCTTGCACAGGAGAGGATTTGTTCCTGCCATCCATCACTGGTTCTGTCAACTGTGGCGTGAAAGGCCACAGCTCTTCAGGGCTTTGGCCAAGGGGCTTTCACCTGGAGCTGCCAGGGATTGAACCTGAGGTTTGCTGCATGCAAAGCAGATGCGCTGCCACTGAGCTTTCCCCATAGATGTGCAGCACTGAAGCATCAGGAAAGTCCTGGGGAGCTGAACTGCAATCTGGAACTTGGCAAGGTGGAGGAGGAAGCAGATACTGAAGAAGAGGAGTTTGGATTTGATATCCCGCCTTTCACTCCCTTTAAGGAGTCTCAAAGCGGCTAACATTCTCCTTTCCCTTCCTCCCCCACAACAAACACTCTGTGAGGTGAGTGGGGCTGAGAGACTTCAAAGAAGTGTGACTAGCCCAGGGTCACCCAGCAGCTGCATGTGGAGGAGCGGAGACTCAAACCCGGTTCCCCAGATTACGAGACTACCGCTCTTAACCACTACACCACACTGGCTCTCCATCACTGGATCTCCCATCAAGATAAAGACTTGGCAGGAAAAGAGAATATAGAGGAGCAATCTAACAGCAGCGGCACTGTTTTATTTTTCCATCTGCCAAATGAATAAATAAAAAACAATGCTGTGAAAATTCTCTGGGGTAATGAAGCCTAATCTCTTATGAATTCCGTATATGATAATGCCATGAAACAATTCTCTCATTGTGTGGGTGCGCCGTGATTTAGCTGGACGCAACCCTCTCTCTTTTTCGCACACACACTTAACATAACTTTCAAGTGTGAATCCCAAAGAGAGCCTTTTCCCACTTAGTAACAATTTAACACACTCATATTTATTCCACTCTGGAGGCCCTTGTATCTGAAAGAAACTTTAAAACAAACTCTCTGGAGAGCTGAGAAAGGGTTTCAACAGAAGCACATTGCGGCAAATTAAAACTTACGATATCTCGATCTCTCTCCCTCTTTAGAACAGTAATTAAAAATGCAACAGTCCATAAAAAGTTTACATTGCACAGAGGTCTCAAAACTTCCATAAAACGTCTACATATCTCAGACTCTAAAGAAAGACAAGCAACCCTGGATTGTTTTAAATTGGAGTTATGCTTCCAATAGTCTTTTCTGCTGCCCCTGTTCCTGCCCAATAGCTACTCTAATTTCTTTGTAAATCTTTGTAAATCGCTCACAATTAGGAACGAGAGAGTTCAGAGGCCTAGATGGCGATCTGTTACGGATTCTTTACCTGTTATTCCTGCATTGTAGGGGGTTGGACTAGAGGATCATTTGGGTCTCTTCCAACTCTATAATTCCATGATTCTATATAATTAGGTCAGTTTCTCTGAGCTTTCTCAGAGAACTCTTGGGGAAGGGAAATGGGTTCATCTAGCAGGCTAAATTCTTATCTCCCTCAGCCCCTGCAGACCAAGCCGCCTGGGTGGGTGGGAGGGACTGCCCACCTGTCTATCACCTGACATCAAAGTGACATCAGACGACCCATTTTTGCATAGCACTCTGTAAAAGTGCTGATCAGCTGATGAGTGGAACCATGCAAGCCCCAGCTATCAAGTTTTTACTTTATGTTGGGGCAACAAGGAGAAGTCTCTGTAAGACTTTCCTGGAGATTCCCTATATCCTAAAACTTACAATTGCAGTTGCAGATCAGGAGGCAGAGGCATCATCTTGGAGGACTGGTCTGATTGTAGCAAGAAGCTCTGGATGGTGATAGATGCCCTATAGGAGCATCCTGGCATTGATGATGAGACCTCCATTGCTGTTGCAAGCTCTCCCAGCTCACTTACTTCACAATAGTAGTGCAGAGTGCTGGCACTAGGGTGAGCCCAGATTTGGGACCCAAATATCTTGCCAGGCCCTCCTGATGGTTCCATCAATCTGGAAAATATGGTGGCTGCAGCTTCTGAGGGGACCTTCTCAGTGATGGCCCCAGGGATGTGGAACTCACTCCCCACAGAGTTGCATCTGGCACCATTTCTTGACCGCTTCCATTAGTTGCCAAAGATGTATCTCTTTGGGGTAATGGGTGGGGATATTTTTTTTACCATTCTAATTGCCTTTTTATATGCTGTGACCCTGGGACATTTTGGTGAAGGGTTGTTTAGAACACAATAAATGTGCCTGTTCAAAATCTATTACTTGGATGTCAGAAATTCTGGTAAATCCCATGTTTTGGCATATCAGCCATCACACACAAATTTTTAAAGTACACCAACTTCTACAATACAGTTTGATCATTAAGGGGCTCCAAAGTTTTGGTGGTGGAAAATTCACGTTATATATAATTGGGTATTTAAAAAAACCCCAGAGTTGTTTTTTAAGTGGCTAACCTGTCTTTTTAATACTTCCCCATTCTTGGTTAATCATCACCACCACCATCATCTGCAGCAGCAGCCAGGTTCAAACTTTGGGAATGGTTTGAGTTCAGCACTTAATGGCTTTGCATTTTCAGAAATGGATGACACTCTCTTGCAGCAGGAGTGGGGGAAACTGGCATTACCTAGCAAAGAGACTGGCTTGTCTCACATTATTTTATCTCAGTGGTTTTCAACCTGTGAGTCCCCAGATGTTGTTGGACTACAACTCCCATCATCCCTGAGCTCTGACCTTGCTAGCTAGGGCTGATGGGAGTTGTAGTTCAACAACATCTGGGGACCCACAGGTTGAGAAAGGCTGTTTTAAGTCATTCTGGAAGTAAGCAAACAAAATGCCTTTTTGTGCAAGCAGAGGAGATAGAGTCGGTGATCAGCTCTGAGAAAACAAAGAAGGGTTGTCCTCATATGAGAAAGAATAACTGCAAAATATTTATTTGCCCCAACCAATTACAAGAGCCGCTCTTCATCAAGGCCAAGATCTATACACATCATGTGTATATAGAACATAGTACATTGCACAACACAACAAATTGTAATTACATAACGCTCTGTTGTTCACTGTTGAATAGTATTCTATGGACTTTGACCACCCCATAAAAAGCTGTCCTTGAAACACGCAGAGCACTTTCCTTCTGAGTACACGAGGGACTCTTCTTCTGAAGCTCTTGTTGGCACAGTTGTTCTCCCCAGGTGAAGGCTCTTTATGAAAGTGTGCTTAAGTGGTCAGATGTAAATTGAAGTAGCTTCTTCCAGACAACCAGGCTATATTTTTTTTTATTAAAAGAAACCCATCTCTCAAAACATGGTTAAAAATAAATATAAAACATTGCCATGGCTACGGAAATGGGAGAAGGAGACATGGAAAGAGCTGATGGCAGGAGCCCTGAATAAAGCAGCCCATTATATACATCAGTTCCCAATGTGATGCCCTCCAGATATTCCTGTTCGCATGGCCAGTTTCCAGGAGAATGGGGATTGCAAGGACCAGGAACGTCTGGAGGGCAGCAGGGTTGAAGAATGCCAGTTAATAGGCATTTTGGGGATGGGGAACCTGTTGTTGGGATACTGCCAGGGAGATAAAGTCCATCATGGCCCCCAAGCCGGCTGCCGGACGTCCATCGATCTCCCGTAGGCACGCAGTATCAGCAATTAGCGACATGAGCTCCAGAAATAGCCTGCCACATTCTAGAGCCGATGCACGCTCTCTATCAGCAGATAATGCACAGCAGAAGTCGCACTCAGGAGAGCATTATTTACAAGTTTTATTCAGCGTTGATCAGAACAAAGAAAAACATGACTGCCTGCTTCAGTGTCTCTGACACAGAGAGAGAAAAACAAAAGACACAACAGAAACATCCTGTGAAACAGGAAATACGCAGACACTGTGCCTCACAAAGCCTGCTCCCTTTTAAGGTGGAACGGAAATATCCTAACACCTGTAGCCTGCCAGATGTTTCTGGACTGCAACTCTCACGAGTCTTAGCCAACAGCACCAATGGCCAGGGATGATGGGTGTTGGACTACAGCATCTGGAAGGTATAAGCAGGAGGAAGTAGCTCTGTGTGAAGCTTAACACATTTATCACAACTCCAGATGCAGACAATGAAGGCAAGGCAAAATGTTTGGTGGGGTTGGCTCTGCTGATCATAAGAACGTTAAACAAGAGCTTGGCTGGATCAGGCCAGTTGTCCATCTAGTCCAGCATTCTGTTCTCACAGTGACCAACCAGATGACTTTGGGAAATCCTCAAGCAGCTGCTTAGTTTCATTATTATCATTATTACAATCCAGTTTTCACAGTGATTCCTGTCCTGCCTGCCCAATAGGTAAGGCAGAAGGTCGGAGAAGAGAAAATCACGGAGAGCCTAGATAGCTCAGTTGGTTAGAGCGAGGTGCTGATAACACCAAGGTTGCAGGTTCGAACCCCGTATGGGACAGCTGCATATTCCTACATTGGACTAGATGATCCTCAGGATCCCTTCCAATTCTACGATTCTTTGATTCTATGATACCCCAATACAATCCTTTGGTCGTGCCGACACCAGGGGCACACTAGCATGGGCATCATGGTAACAGTCTAATAAGGAGCCTGCAGGATCAGGCCAGTCGTCCATCTAGTCCAGCATCCTGTTCTCACAGTTGCCAACCAGATGCCTGCAGCACCTGAGCATGAGAGCTCCCCTCATATATTTTCAAAAACTTATTTGTAAGAGGATTTGTTCCCATTGAAATTACCTGATCAGCCACAGCACGGGCCAATTTGTCCATTCTTGAGCCAGCTTCTGCAATCTTCTTGGCAGCATTAATGACATCAGATGTATTCTTTAATGGTCCCTTACCCCTGGAAAATACAAGGTAATTACAGTGCCATCTAATTAAATTATGGAAATAAATAGAGTTAATATCCTGGATAAGAGGTTTTAAAAAAACCTTCAAAAAAGGGGGGGAAAGAGAGCTGTAGTATGAACAACTTCCCAATTTAGTACGACATCACCTTTCAACTACTTATTATAGCATAGCTTGATTAGGAAAAGAAGCAGGAAAAAAATAGAGGAAAAGCCTTCTGGATTCCCTCATATGCTCCAAAATGCTTTGGCAGCACTTTTCTTTGATTTCGCCTCTAAGCTCATGAACTATGTCTAATAGCATGTGCATTTTTAAGTGCTCATTAAGACAGTGTCCCTGGTGGAATGCAAAGCTTTTTCATGAGAGAGGGGAAAAAATAGAACCCCTCTGTTATTCCCCGAGCTATGCTTAATGCAAACTCAAAATGCAGAAA